TGGAGGGCCAGATTCTGCCCACTGCTATCGATGTGACACATGCTGAAATAACAATATTCATGTAGGAGACCATGACACCCTGTGCAAGGATACCATCCATTCTCCTCCTGCATACCCAAGCCAACCCTTTGCCTGTTGAGTACTTCTGATAAAAGGAGCTGGGAATGATTTACCAAGACAGGTAAAGGTAGGAACTGTGCGGGTTATCAATCTCAGGCATGTCTTCCAGATTAAGCCTACATGCAAGTTGGGAAACTGAGACATGCAGAGAAAGTACACACAGTAAATGAGAGAGATGGCCTGGAGCCATGGTATGTGTCTCAGTTACTTTGTCACCACTGTGACACAAATCCGATACCCACAGGTCTAAGGTGGTTTATTTTGCCTCATATTTGTAAAGGTTTCAGTCTCCAATTGGCTGATTCAAGGCAGGGTGACATGGCAGAGGGGCGTGGCAGGAGAGAAACAGCTCCTGGCACGGTAGTCAGGAAGCAGAGGGAGGGATCAGCGCAGGAGGAAGGGAGAGAGACCCTCCCAGGCCGTGCCCAGGGAGCTCCTTCCTCCAGCCAGGCTGAAACTCGCCCTTGAATTAGCTCCAGGATTTAGTCACCTCTCACACACGCACAACTTATAAGTGTATGTAGATTTGGGGGACATCTAGGAATAGACATTTCACACATGGCATTTGTCTTCATTTTAACAGCCTCTTTGTTTTCTAAGTCTTCCAGGGTTGTACAGTTTGCAGGGTGCAGCAAGCCCTGGATCATCTCGTCTTTACTCCTACCTCTTTTTTTTTTTTTTAAAGCAGTTATTTTTTATAGTTGAATTTAGTACATTGTTACATCGACTTCAAACCAATTGAAGATACCACAACCAATAAATTCAATGTTTCTCAGAATCTCTCAAGGTAGTCTTTTTTTTTTACATTCAAGATTCCATTTATTTAAATAAATATTTTATAATTGAAACAGACTCATTAAAATGTCCCCAACTAAAAGACAAAATAAACAACCTTTCACTGTTGTCAACATTTTTCTTTCTCCCTTTCTTTCTTGATATCTCTTTTATCGCCATTTCCATTCCCTCCCCTCAAACCTCCCTTCTCCCCATTCCAAAGCTGTTTCCATTTTATTCTTCTTTCCCCATTTTTCTTTTCTTTTCCTTCCTTTTCTCCTCCACTGCCCTAATTTCTACCTCTTTTTATCTGATTTAATTCCCTGATCCTTAAGACTTATCTTGAGCACATCTTTTGGCAGATACATTAGTTTTCCAAAAGTGCAGATATGTGACCTCAGACTATAGCTTAGTTTGAAACCTGGTCAGTTGTTTTGTTTCCTAAACAAAACTTGTTCCTAACAAGTCAACGCAGGAACTCAGTTTAACTATGTGTTCTTGTGTGCGACTGGCTGATTTTTTTTGTGATATTTATGCTTTCAGTAATAGAACAAAATTTATTTCCTTTTTAAATTTAGGTTTAGTTCTTGATGTTGTGAAGACAAAAATCAAGATTAAGAGTCTTATAACCCATTGGGAGGCTCCAAAGTGTGTGTGTGTGTGTGTGTGTGTGTGTGTGTGTGTAGTAATATAAAACTAAGAGTGCACAGTGGCACAGACAATAACATAAATGGGGGGACTATTTATATTTGTAAAAAAATATGGGGGAAGTCAAGGAAAGTGCTACAAAAAATGATGCTCAGCTGGACATGGTGGTGCACACATGGACTACAGCATGCTGGGATGTTGAGGTAGGAAGATCCCAAGATCAAGCCCAGCCTGGCATCTCAGTGAGCCCCTGCTTCTAAATAAAAAATAATAAATAAGTAAACAAATCAATAGGCAGGCAGGTAGGTATGGGAATTTAGTTTATTGCAAACATCCTGCTCAATCCCCAGTTCTTCCACCCCACCAAAAAGCGATGCTCAAATGCATCTTGAAAAAAACATAGATCATCGTGTAGCAGATTGAGATGCTTGAAGAAGCCCAAGGGGCTCAGAAAACAGTCCATACTTAGATGGGCTAAAGGGTAGCATGTTTTTACCTGGTGAGGAAATGGTGGAAAACGATGTGAAAGGAGTGATTGGTAAGAGACGAGGCTGAGCGAGCGGAATCCCAGCCTCATGCAATGCTGAAAAGGAGTCTGTACTGTGACCTGAACATGGTCTCCAAAATTCATGCGTTTAACTTAGCACCGTGCCACTTAGCAGTGCTCAGCGGTGGGACCATGAGGAGGTGATTCTGCCTCAACGGCTCCGCTCTCCTAATGGATTAATGCCATCACTGTGGGGTGGGTTCTTTACAGCCAGAGTATATTATTTATAAAAGTCAAGTCTGGTTCCCTTTTGCCTCTCTCAGCTCAGCCCCTTTTGCTCTTCCATCATGGAATGACACGGCAAGGAGGCTCTCACTAGGTTCTGGCCCTTGGCTATAGAATTCCCAGTCTTTACAACTGTAAACTACATTTCTGTAAACAAACATTTCTGTTTGTTACAAAGTACCCAGTCTGTGACATTCTGTCATAGCAGTATAAAATAGACTAAGAAATTAGGGCATTTAAAATGTGAACGTCGTGTAGGTAATGGGTGCCATTGAAATGTTTTATTTTATTTTACTTTGGTTTCCTGAGACAGGATCTTGCTATGCAGTCCAGGCTAACATCTGATTTACAGAGATTCTCCTGCCTCAGCCTCCCAGTGCTGGACATGTGCTGCCATGTCCAGCTGTAGTATTTAGAGACAAACACTCTGATTTGTAATTCTGCATGATAATTGCTATTTGAATGTCAGTGAATTGCAGGTAGAGTGATCGGCTGACAAGTTATTTTCAGCAGTGTGGGCAGAATGGATGAATAGCAGTGACAGTGGACATGGAAGAGGAGAGGACAACAAGAGCTTTGCACCAATCTAAGAGACAAGGTCTGGCAATGGTGAGAAATTGGAGGGTAGTTAAAAACAAGAAGGAGACTAAATAAGCCTGAGACTTCCTACTTGCATATTTGAACTAATTTGATGGAACAGAGCTAAACAAGGGGGTGAGCTTTGTGTTGTTCAACAAAGCTTCATTGTAATATTACAGTTTGGAGCCTGCAGTGGGCTCTCCAAAGAGTTGGGCAGGAGAGACGTCATTGGTGCGTAAAATGAATAATGGTTCAGAATGGTTTAGGTATAAACCCGAATGCCAGCAGCATGAAGGACAGTCAAGGGCTTTGTTTCAGGAACTGCACCCAAAAATAGCCATCTGGGCTAGACGGGTTGGATCTGCAGACCCACACGCTGTGGCTAGGTTGCTGCCATCCCAGGGAGCAGGCTGGGTGGATCCCCAGACGACCTTGGCCTATAGTTAGCTCTCACAATCCGCTGTGACTGATTTTCAAAGGAAAAGGAATAGCAGCTGTGTTGCAAGAGTGTTTTCTTCTCTGTAAAGAAAAAGTGCTCATAAGCAATACATTTCCCAAGTGGCTGTTTCTCCTGGTTTGACTAACGGCTTCTGTGACTGCAAATATGCCTCTGGTTTCCATAAGGCCATTAAAAATCTAATCGCTTTTTTCTTGAGTCAAAATACCTTGAACCTCTTGGGTAACTCAGAAGAAATCAAAGTGTAAGTTCCAGCCCTGGGAAATATATCAAAGAAATGCCTGCTTTAGTATATTAGAGTATCTTTTCCCCTTCTGTATATCACAATAAAAGTAAATTAGAATACAAGGATTGAAAGGGAGCCATGGAACCTAATCAAATTAGAAGTAAATTCTCCCTTTGGGGATCTAAAGTCAGAATACAAGATTCGACTAAGTTTGAGACTCTCAGATATAAAATCCTCTCTACCATGTAGAGCTCAGGTCAAACCATCTGGTGGTAAGTTTATTTTATTGCACGGTACCTGGAGAAAACATTGCAAAATTATTTTGCTTGTAAATTGAACTTTAGACACCGTACTTCATCGCAGAAACACTAGAGGGCGGAAGTGAGGCAGGAGAAAGCTGCTAGGGATCCAAGAGGAGAGAACTGTAAGGAAGGCATCCAAGGCCACAAATTGTACTTGGGTAGACACTAACGTTTATAGCATAAGTGACTTTATAGTTGAAATTCAATGTTAAAAAACTTTATGATCTTCTGGATCTGTTCATAATCCAGTAAAAGGAAATTATTCTTCTCCGACTAGAATCTATATTCTGTTCATTTGTAGACATTTTCAGAGCCAATACAATATGGTTCTGAGAGTCTTCAGTTTTAGAGGATACATTACTTGGATGAATAACCTTTCACAGATGTTGGATTTTTTTTTAACACAGCTCTTGTGGTTAGACTTACAGTTCTCACAGGGAACAGTAATGATACCAGGCATTTCCGATACTTGTAGGAATAAACGTGCTCTTTGTAGATAACCTGAAACAGAGGCCTTTCCCTCTCCATTTTCTCCATGATCCTCATATATTATCTCTACATTAAAACACCACTGTACAGTCCAGAAACACTAAAGTTAACTGGCCCGATATTATGCACATGTCAATGAGAACTGACATTTATTTTTCTTCTTTTAATTCTCAGTTCCTTAATCCCTTTGTGCCTCTTGAAAATGCCAAAAGAATTAATGAAGGCTAAAGTCTTATTGCTAAGTTTTTAAAAAAATTAACAATTACTACAATCAGAAACAAAGATATTAACAAGAGACTATTCAACTGGTTATTTAAACATTTTACTGAGAAACTAGTATGTCTATGAAAGATTGTCCTTAAACCATAACAGATTTTTGAAATATGATTGATAAAATCATGTGTGAATCCAAACATAGGAAAATCACAATGAAACATGCTTAGTTAATAAAGATCTGCCCTTTCACAGACCTTGGAGTGAGACTCATCTGAATGTTAAATGCCAAGAGAGAAGAGACAACATTAATGAACTCCCCAGCACAGAGCCTGTTGGAACTGATCAATGACCCTGGCCAGAAATGCTCAGGCCCAAAATTTGGGTTTGCATTTGTTAGCCATGCATGATATTACTTACCTTTCAAGGAGGAACCTCTAATTTCAGAAAGTGCTGACATGGATTACTGCACCCGTTAGCAAAAGTCTTTGGCAGAAATGCCATTTATCCATGTTGTGGTAATGAACAGATTTAAAACATTCTGGTGTCACCATCTCTGAAAAAGCACATTCCCTTGAATATTTCCTCCACAGGCAAAGAGAAATATTCCTGCAGGCCCATGGGTGTGGAACGCTATGGAGATATAGCTGGTGAGTGACAGAACGTCTGGTTGATTTACATGAAACCCATGTGCTCGTATGAGAATAGGTTAGGTTTAGATTGACGAGCAAATGTGTAGCCAGACTTCTGGCTGACAAATGGCAGAACTATGCCAGCACATTCGCTCCTCTGGAGAGAGACCAAAAGTGAAACAGGAGGATCAAATTCACTCTTAAAGGACATTCAAACCTAATGGATGGCAGAGTGGTTAGGGGAGTAAGCACATAGATATTCATCCTCCAAAATAGCATTAGATGGGTTTACAATCGTGCTGGCTACACCCTTATCAAGCATTGCTGTGTGCTGTGTATTTTTGTATTGACATTTCTTCAGGAGAAGCTGGGTGTTTTCAAGATAATTCCTTTTTATTGGCAGCTTGGGTTTAAAATCACTAATCTCTAAAAATGGCTTGTTTGGGTAAACCAGAAACTGAAAATAACAACTGATGAGATTAGTATTAAAAATGGTGCCAAGCATTAAATGGTCCAGACTGAAATAGATTTATTCTGGCTGGGCACAGCTGAGAACAGAAACATCCATACAGACTTGTCAAGCGGAGAACTGCTCGGACTGTACTCTTCTCTCAAGGCTAGAGTTCAACGTTCAGGGCTTCTGGTTTGCTTCTGAGGAAGTAGCATGCTAGTAATGCCAGACGTTATTCATTGACTTCCTGTGGTATGCCAGGAGCCCTGCCCCGTACGTTACCCGCGGTATCTCATATAATTCTCACCACTACACCCTGGGGTAGGGTGATAACCTTCACTGTGAAGATGAATCTGAGGGTCAGAGACCTTTGTTTCATTATACAAGGCTGTACAATAGCAAAATGACTAAGTCAGAATTTAAACTCCAGTCTGCCTTCAAAGCGCTTTGTGTTGTGCTCTCTTAATTCTTGAATATCTGATGAAGGGTACTGGTCAGGGAATGGCAGTCTGTAAATCCTGCAGTGTTTTAGGAGTATTTAAAAAAAAAAAAAAGTTGAGAGGTCTGGATTTGAATCCTGCTGTTAGTGGTGTGTGATCTTGAAAAAATTCCTATCCTTTGCTGTATCCTTTCATCTATAAAGTATGTGTGCATGAGCACTTGTGCATACGTGCATCTGTGTGTGTGTGTATTGGAAGTTTTAAAAATTACCTTTAATTTCTAACCTTTGATGGTTTCATAGGCCTTCCAGGAGCTTTTAATTTCCTGTAATTGAGGTACATGTTTGGTCTTTTGGTCTTTAAGTGAACTCAGATGTGAAGAAACACTTTCATTTGAAATTCAAGAACTAGTTTAATTCCTGCTACAGATTATTTCTCCTTCTATAAAATTTGTTCCTATGTGGGTTGCCCCAACATGGACTACCTTCCCTTTCCTGGGCGGACAGTCCCGCTGTGTGAGGAGGGTGCTCTGCTCATTACTGACCCAGAGAGACCCACAGGACATGCTAGAAATGTGAGAGTACGGTATAACATTACTACAGAAGAAAGCTGCTCTCATGTCTTTCATCACAAGGCAAAAAGCAACTCCATGAGGTGGCACATGCCTGTGATCCCAGCGCTCTGGGAGCTGAGGGGGAGGAGAGCAAGCTCAAGCCCAGCCTCCGCAACTTCGGGATTTAGTCAGATCCTGTCTCAAAACTTAAAAAACACCGGGGCTGTGGATGTAGCTCGTGTAACAGCCCTGAATTCAATCCTCGGTAACATACACACACACACACACACACACATTGAAAAAAGGCAAATATTCCATCCAGTGAGTTAGAAAACCAAATAATGTCTGTGGCTGCCTATTTTACATGCTTCGTTCTATTTTTATAAATTATCAGGGCTTGCTTTATTTTACTGCCCTGCCTACTTACAATTCACTACTCACTGCTGATGAGCTTTCTCTGAATATGACCCTCCACTCTTAGAACCCACCATCCCGTGCCTGGTTTGCCTGGTTCACCAGCTCTCCTGTTGACGGAGACACGCACATCGGCTGTCCTGTGTGGACATTCATCACCGCAGCTCAGCATTCTTGGGGATCAAATGTCATCAGCTATGCTGCGTGTAGGGATCAACATTTGAACATTCCTTTGATGTTGCGCCTCATGACAGTCAATGGCTAAATCCAAGCTTTTGCTATTTGACCAGATGTCAAATGTGCTGGCCTGAATATCTATCATCTTATAGATAGCTGGATTAAAAAAAAAAAGAGGAGAAGACAACTGGGAAGAGTATTTCAAAACTCTTCTGCAGAGCTAATTAAGGTAAAGTTTTGATTCACTGGAAAGGTAGTGGAGCAGCATATTCAAGCTGATTATGAAGGTGACACTTTTGAAAACTCCATTTAGTATACGCTGTGTGCCACTATATGTATGATATAAAGTATCCAAAGAGGAACAAAGTTCTTACAATACTATCTAAAGCATCTTCTGATTCTCCTCTACTGACTATTGCACAAAAATTTATTCTCTTTCCTTCCAACACTTTTTAATGTGTGTCTTTGGTTGCTTTTCATAGGTTTCAAACCATTTTTAGACACTCATTATCATATTTGTTTGTTTCTCCTTACTATCTCCATCATGACTGGACACTTAAAAATTTTTTCTTTGCTTATGCAACAAAGGACTTTTGAGAAGAAAAAACCCAGTTTAATGCTCATTGGCTACTAAGGTCACACAGTAATGTTGCAAAGTCAGCACTTTGCACTTGAATACACTGCTAAAGACTAAGTGACTTGCCCAAGTCCTCACAACCATTATCAGAGATGGAATTTGAACTTGCTTTTTCCTGTTGTGTTCCACTGCATCCCAGCTGCCCCTGACTAACAGGATGGAGCTAGGTTAATAAGCCCTTCAAGACAAGCTTGTAGAGGCTCAGTGGTTAGTCTGTATAAAGACAGAACAGATGAAGAGGACCAGGAGATTAAAATGCCCAAATGGCTGTTTCCTTAAAAACCAAACATTTCCTAAAAAGGGATGAATACATTTTGATTAATTTGCTCATGCTGTTTTACCCTCCTAGATGCACATTAAAAAGATTTAAAAAGAAAAATAGCATGTTATTTAATAGTGCCCAAGAGCTGGAATATTTTAACTAAACAGATACCCATGAATAACTCCAGTTGGAAGTTGTTCATTTGTATCTTAAGGCAGAATGTAGCCTTTTGACTTTAGCCTATTAAACACAAGGAAATTCATAGTTAAAATTCGGCTCGCAGCTCCCCAGCCAGGATGGGAATGGCCATGGCCATAAAACACGATGGATAAGGCTACCACAAAGCCCAATAATCTGTTGACATGGTAGAGCAGGGTGGTCAAGCCACAGTAAATCAAGCCCTATGTTCATTTTTCAAAAAAGGCAAATAGAGTAACAGTGTGTGCATCGTTCTTTACAGTGAGAAGCTGATAGGTTTGCAGCAAACTGAGCAGGGTGGGTGGAGTAAATCACAAACACTCCTCAGGTAGAGGGTGTTTGGACACAGCAGGTATCCGTTTAGAAAGCTGTCTTGGGAGAATGATTTGGGACCATGTGCTGCTGCTTTATTTGCAGGGATGAAAAAGAGAAAGCCCCTGCTTGGAGGCCAAACTCATATAAAACAGCCTGGTCTGCTGGCACTGGCCCGGCAGGGCACAGCTCTCAGAGCAGTTTGAGCTTTACTTCTCCAGAGGGTCTCTTGGGGGTTCAGAAGATCCCCTGTGACCTCAGTAGCAAGTTAAACAACAGGCACTTGTAAAATTCAGGGATGGGCTCGTCTCCCTAGCTGAAAAAACGCCATTATTGCGCCAGCATGTAGGGCATGCCTGTAATCCCTGACATGGTTATCAGTAGCACTCAGGAGGCAGAGGCAGGAGAATCACTGAGGTTGAGGCCTGCCTGGACTATGTAGTTTAAGGCCAGCCTAAACTGCATACTGAGGCTCTGGCTCAAAAATAAGTCAGACCACTGCTAATCAGACCACTACTTAATGAACATTAAAAACAAAACAGAACCATAGATTTCCTATATATTTGACAATTGATTCTGAATGTGGCTGGTAGGAAGAATGCCCTGTTATGGAGGACCACCCGGTTCCTTTTAGCTAATTGCAAAAGGGTTTGGTTTTCTTCAAGAGTACCAAGATTTCTGGAGGTTTTTACGGCGATGAGAAACTGCTTTGGTGTCCTTCAGTACTGACCAGATAACTTGGATTCATCTTTCTGTTAAGGAGAAAAGCTGGGGGCAGCAGGATGTATCTACAGAGAAACAAACATCTCTCCGTGTCCCCTGCTTTATAGTCAGATTCAATTTGATTTTTGGTTTTTTAAATTTAATTTAATTTTCAGAGGCTAATTTTAAACAGGGAAGAATTCAGGGAAAACAAAAAGAAAGCCGCTTAGAAGCAGTTCTGATTTGAAACCATAGAGAGACGGCTCCAATACACCCATGTATTTTCAAAGCCACTTGCCTGAAAAACCAGGCAACAAGAACTCAGCCTGGGCTGCACTCCTGGTTTGCCAGCAGCATTAGAGAGAAGGCCTGCTGGGTCCAGCTCTAGAGGTGTTTCCTTTAGCCCAGGCCATGTGGCTGCCCTGCCATGACCAAGTGTTTTCTGTCACCTCCAGACATTACGCGCTGTGCTAACATTTATTTCTAAAGCTCAGGCCAATGTGACACTCAGGAATGAATGTGAGATCAAGCAGAGTTGGCCAAGGTGATTGTTTTGCTCAGCTCAGTGGAGCTAGGGAGGGGCTGCCCCTCATTTTGACCTCTGTTGTTTTTGGAAGGCTTGCCTTGGGGTTTTTACTAGTGGGTGGTCCCTTAGGTCTCCTACTACATTCCAAATATTTCTAAAACCTTCTGAGAGGCAGCGTTCAAACGAATGAGCACATGATCCTGACTGATGTGGAGCCTGTGTGACACTGCCTCTTCCTCCCTCGCGTCCTCCCTTTGTTTTCAATGAAGTCTTACAGGGCAGAGTTTGTGAATCTGAAGACCTGAGACTTCAGTGTACTACTAGACTTTAGTGTACTACTAAAAAAGTAGTCTCTAGATTTAAAGGTTCCCAAGCTTTTTGCATCGTTCACCAG